GTATAGTATGGGTATAGCAAGGCATAAACATGAAAAAAAACGTCATAGTATAGTATGGCAAAAAACGTCATAGTATAGTATGGCAAAAAAAGTCATAGTATAGTATGGCATAAAAATGAAAAAAAATGTCATAGTATAGTAAGGCATAAAAATGAAAAAAAACGTCATAGTATAGTATGGCAAAATAGGTTATAGTATAGTAAGGCCTAAAAATGAAAAAAAACGTCTTAGTATGGCAAAAAACGTCACAGTATAGTAAGGCATAAAAATGAAAAAAAACGTCATAGTACAGTAAGGCATAAAAATGAAAAAAAACGTCATAGTATAGTATGGCAAAATATGTTATAGTATAGTAAGGCATAAAAATGAAAAAAAACGTCTTAGTATAGTATGGCAAAATAGGTCATAGTATAGTAAGGCATAAAAATGAAAAAAAAAACGTATAGTATAGTATGGCATAAAAATTAAAAAAAACGTCATAGTATAGTATAGCAAAAAAAGTCACAGTATAGTAAGGCATAAAAATGAAAAAAAAAGTCATAGTATAGTATGGCAAAAAACGTCATAGTATAGTATGGCAGAAAAAGTCATAGTATAGTAAAGCATAGAAATGAAAAAAAAAGTCATAGTATAGTATGGCAAAAAACGTCATAGTATAGTATGGCAAAAAACGTCATAGTATAGTATGGCAAAAAACGTCATAGTATAGTATGGCAAAAAACGTCATAGTATAGTATGGCAAAAAACGTCATAGTATAGTATGGCAAAAAACGTCATAGTATAGTATGGCAAAAAACGTCATAGTATAGTATGGCAAAAAACGTCATAGTATAGTATGGCAAAAAACGTCATAGTATAGTATGGCAAAAAACGTCATAGTATAGTATGGCAAAAAACGTCATAGTATAGTATGGCAAAAAACGTCATAGTATAGTATGGCAAAAAACGTCATAGTATAGTATGGCAAAAAACGTCATAGTATAGTATGGCAAAAAACGTCATAGTATAGTATGGCAAAAAACGTCATAGTATAGTATGGCAAAAAACGTCATAGTATAGTATGGCAAAAAACGTCATAGTATAGTATGGCAAAAAACGTCATAGTATAGTATGGCAAAAAACGTCATAGTATAGTATGGCAAAAAACGTCATAGTATAGTATGGCAAAAAACGTCATAGTATAGTATGGCAAAAAACGTCATAGTATAGTATGGCAAAAAACGTCATAGTATAGTATGGCAAAAAACGTCATAGTATAGTATGGCAAAAAACGTCATAGTATAGTATGGCAAAAAACGTCATAGTATAGTATGGCAAAAAACGTCATAGTATAGTATGGCAAAAAACGTCATAGTATAGTATGGCAAAAAACGTCATAGTATAGTATGGCAAAAAACGTCATAGTATAGTATGGCAAAAAACGTCATAGTATAGTATGGCAAAAAACGTCATAGTATAGTATGGCAAAAAACGTCATAGTATAGTATGGCAAAAAACGTCATAGTATAGTATGGCAAAAAACGTCATAGTATAGTATGGCAAAAAACGTCATAGTATAGTATGGCAAAAAACGTCATAGTATAGTATGGCAAAAAACGTCATAGTATAGTATGGCAAAAAACGTCATAGTATAGTATGGCAAAAAACGTCATAGTATAGTATGGCAAAAAACGTCATAGTATAGTATGGCAAAAAACGTCATAGTATAGTATGGCAAAAAACGTCATAGTATAGTATGGCAAAAAACGTCATAGTATAGTATGGCAAAAAACGTCATAGTATAGTATGGCAAAAAACGTCATAGTATAGTATGGCAAAAAACGTCATAGTATAGTATGGCAAAAAACGTCATAGTATAGTATGGCAAAAAACGTCATAGTATAGTATGGCAAAAAACGTCATAGTATAGTATGGCAAAAAACGTCATAGTATAGTATGGCAAAAAACGTCATAGTATAGTATGGCAAAAAACGTCATAGTATAGTATGGCAAAAAACGTCATAGTATAGTATGGCAAAAAACGTCATAGTATAGTATGGCAAAAAACGTCATAGTATAGTATGGCAAAAAACGTCATAGTATAGTATGGCAAAAAACGTCATAGTATAGTATGGCAAAAAACGTCATAGTATAGTATGGCAAAAAACGTCATAGTATAGTATGGCAAAAAACGTCATAGTATAGTATGGCAAAAAACGTCATAGTATAGTATGGCAAAAAACGTCATAGTATAGTATGGCAAAAAACGTCATAGTATAGTATGGCAAAAAACGTCATAGTATAGTATGGCAAAAAACGTCATAGTATAGTATGGCAAAAAACGTCATAGTATAGTATGGCAAAAAACGTCATAGTATAGTATGGCAAAAAACGTCATAGTATAGTATGGCAAAAAACGTCATAGTATAGTATGGCAAAAAACGTCATAGTATAGTATGGCAAAAAACGTCATAGTATAGTATGGCAAAAAACGTCATAGTATAGTATGGCAAAAAACGTCATAGTATAGTATGGCAAAAAACGTCATAGTATAGTATGGCAAAAAACGTCATAGTATAGTATGGCAAAAAACGTCATAGTATAGTATGGCAAAAAACGTCATAGTATAGTATGGCAGAAAAAGTCATAGTATAGTAAAGCATAGAAATGAAAAAAAAAGTCATGAAAACGTCATAGTATAGTAAGGCATAAAAATGAAAAAAAACGTCATAGTATATATTATGGCAAAATAAGTCATAGTATAGTAAGGCATAAAAATGAAAAAAAAACGTTATAGTATAGTATGGCATAAAAATGAAAAAAAACGTCATAGTATAGTATGGCAACATAAGTCATAGTATAGTAAGACATAAAAATGAAAAAAAACGTCATAGTATAGTATGGCAACATAAGTCATAGTATAGTAAGGCATAAAAATGAAAAAAAACGGCAGTATAGTAAGGCATAAAAATGAAAAAAAACATCATAGTATAGAAAGGCATAAAAATATTTTTTTAAAAAGTCATATTATATTATGGTACAAAAATGAAAAAAAACGTCATAGTATAGTAACGCAAAAAAATAAAAAAAAACGTCATAGTATAGTATGGCAAAATAGGTCTTAGTATAGTAAGGCATAAAAATGAAAAAAAAACGTCATAGTATAGTATGGCATAAACATGAAAAAAACGTCATAGTATAGTATGGCATAAAAATGAAAAAAAAAATGTCATAGTATAGTATGGCAAAAAAATGAAAAAAACGTCATAGTATAGTGTGGCAAAAACATGAAAAAAACGTCATAGTATAGTATGGCATAAAAATGAAAAAAAACGTCATAGTATAGTAAGGCATAAAAATGAAAAAAAACGTCATAGTATATATTATGGCAAAATAAGTCATAGTATAGTAAGGCATAAAAATGAAAAAAAACGTCACAGTATAGTATGGCATAAAAATGAAAAAAACGTTATAGTATAGTATGGCAAAAAAAATCACAGTATAACAAGGCATAAACATGAAAAAAAACGTCATAGTATAGTAAGGCAAAAAACGTGATAGTATAGTATGGCATAAAAATGAAAAAAACGTGATAGTATAGTAAGGCATAAAAATGAAAAAAA